TTTTGGTGTTATTCTGTGCCTCTTTGGAATTTTAGCAGTTCTTGTTCCTGCTGCTTTCTTGTGAGTTGGACGGCTACGATGAACAACTGATTTGAGGGCTGGAATTGCTAGTTATCCTCTTAAGTTTCTTGCCCTTCAGGCATTTATTTGGGGGAACGGGAAGCTGTTTAATGCCAGCTTTATAAACTGCGATTCTTGTATCTTGTTCTCCAGAAATGTTGAAAGGGAAGCGGGTGATCGTTACTGGGGCAAGCACTGGAATTGGAGAGCAGATAGCATATCACCTAGCACGGATGGGCTCCCATCTCCTGATTACTGCACGGACAGAAGCCCAGCTCCAGCAAGTAAATATTAAATATTCATTTATCCCTCTTTATAACTATACTTACCAAAGAACCTCTCATACATTGAAAGGGTATAAGAGAGAGACAAAGAGTACCCTCCCTCAAACAGAGAGTAGAGAAAGATTAATTCTTCAAAGCCAGAAAGAAAACAAGGTAACTGCTGCCATTTATAAGTGACTGTTAACTGAATAGCAATTTTTTCCCTTTGGCTGATCATTGGGGCCAGACTGTATTACCCCTTCAAATCCCAGGGGCACTGTGAATAGAAAGAGAACTGCTCGATCTGGTAGGGAGAGTCAGAGCAAGATCTGTAGAGCAGTTCTTTCTCAGCCCCGGGTAAAAGACCATGTTGATCTCTTGCCTTGATATTGGAAAGCAGGGGTGACAGCCTTCCAGTGTGCCTGGTCCAATGGTGAAGCTACAGTCATGTGCATGCAGAAAAGGAAGGAAGGAAAGAAGGAAAGAAGGAAGGAAAATATTAAGATTTGGGAGAATTAAATCTTTAAATTGTGATTTAAATCACAATTTATACTTCACAGTAAATCACAGATTTTATACTTCATTTATCAGCAGCATATGAGTATGTATGCACATAAGTAAGTATGTGTATCTGTGTGATTGCATCTCCAGCCACACATCTGGTAAAAATGTAGTGGATATCTTCTGAAAAATGTATTTTATTTTCAACTGCCTATCTGGGAGAAAAAAACTGACCAGAATAGCTACAAAAATATGCCTGAAGGTATACTCAAATAGCTTTGAATGGATTAAATTCAGAACTACAAGCCCAAGCTATCTCTAAAACTGTTATCACATATTTGATTTAATATCATAAACTGATTATACACACGTGCACACACACAATAATTAGCACAGCATGTATATTTGTCACTGCCCTCTAGGGACAGAGGGAGGCTATGGCATCAACCAAGTTAAGTTGGAGTGTGTTGAGAGTTAGCCTGTGTCCCCATTTATACCCATTTTTGACACAAACATGCCTTGTCAACATTTTTCTTACTATGACTCATGACATTTCCTTGGAATCTGGAAGTTGGCATTTATTACCTTATAAAGAAAGGAAAGGATGGGAAGATACATTGTAAACCAAAGTACTGCTTGTGATTAAGATTCCTTCGTGAGTCAAATCTGTCTTGTTTATAATTTTATTCATTTGTTTATTAACTTCATTAAATTGTATTTAAAATTAAAATGGGATATAGCAGGAGGGGCACAGGAAGGTGGCTAGAGGTGTTTGATGACTCAAACAGTCAGACCTATCCCATTCCTATGGTGGCATTCTTACTGCAGTGTGGGTTTGTCTTCCAGCTAGTGACATGCTGAAGAGGGAGGCCTCTTCAGAGGATACATCCTGCCTCTTTGCTTATCAGTTGTTGCATGTATATGGTCAGGACAGCACAATGTGAACCAGACCAGAGGCAATAGAGGCTGAATAGTGATTGGCAATGGAGGCAGCAAATTTCATGCTGGTATCCTCTTCCACTGACTCAAGATTAGGTGGATGGCACTTTATTTTGGCACAAGGAAGGGACCTGACTTAGTTTTTGAAGATGCAGCAGATATTCATTTAAAACTTCTCAACCCTTTGCAAACATTCTCATTCCATATATATCTTGACTAGACTTTTCCCCCATGTGTATTCCCAGTCTGTTGGATTTGAACTTCCATAATTCCCAGTCAATCCATTGAGAGGATGTGAACTCGGAGAAGGCTGATTTTTTAAAAAACATGACTGAATAGAGCAGGTAAAAGTAATGGCACTGAGAAATAAAATATTTCTGGCAAAGATATATGTGTGATAATAAAGGCATAGTAGAGACAGAAGTAATAGGAGGAGATCACTTAATGGGAAGCATATTGTCTCTCCCTAGCATGACCTTGGCTGATCGAGAGAGAGAGAGAGAGAGAGAGAGAGAGAGAGAGAGAGAGAGAGAGAGAGAGAGAAATAACATGGTTGGTCCTATTTAATACTTCATTGAGAGGATGTCAAGAAATACTGGGGTTGTAGATCAGAAAAAAATATCCTGGAAGACAATGGAAACCACTTCTGTAGAGTAAACCACTGGAGGGATAGCAACCACCATGCATGTTTGTGGTCATAATTATAAGCATGTGAGAATCTCTGCTGTAGACAGAGTCTGATCATCTAAAGGCAAAAGGTCAGATTTTTTCAACTTACTGTTGACTATTGGCTTTCGCTAAAGCAGTGCAAGCAGACTTTCAGATGAAGTCTATCCCCATCCTTCTCCATGTCTGGCAGAAAATGCATAGGCTTTGCTGTGCTTTCTAAGAAGCCTGTGTCAGTAGTGAACTGGAACATTTTCAGCTGAGACTTTGAAATTAGTCACCAAGTTCAAATCAGGCTTTAGCGTATTTATCCAATAACATAGCTTATTTTAGGATACCAGCCTTGCAACGAAGATCAATAAACCACCAATTCAGCAATTGTTGCACATAATTTTGGTCTTATATAGATTTTTTTTTCATGGTTCCTGAATTTAAGGGAAAAAAAAGTCTTGGTTATTACAGAATATGGTTATTGCAGTAACATGGTCCATGGTTTCAAATAATTTTTTTTAGAATTATAAATCTAGCATGACTACCAAAGGAGGTGCTGCAAACCCAATATTTAAAATGTTCTTTTTAATAAATGTTAGCAATCACCGGGGGGGGGGGTTGCGGGGGGGAGGTGTTGTACATGAAAAAGCTGAAAATGCTTTCAGCTGACATTGTTAATGAGGCTGTTTTTCCAGTGGAAATTCCCCACTGATAATACTGATCCAATAAAAATGCGCTGTCAAAATATCCTTGTAAACTGAATTATTCAGCTGCTTCTTTGCAATACTCTACAGAAACTTGATTTAGCATGTTTGGGTGGAAAGGGGTTAAAAGGTCATGGAATATCCAGTAATCTTCTCTTCTATTTGCTTCAGGTGGTTGCTCAGTGTTTAGAGTTGGGTGCAGCATCTGCCAGGTACATTAATGGCAGTATGGAAGATATGAAATTTGCTCAGGCTGTGGTGAAGAAAGCAGAGGAATTATGGGGTATGTTGACTTCATTAGAACATGAGATGGTTTCAGTGTCTAGCATCTCATTTCCAACAGCAACCAGCTAGATGCTTCCAGAAGCCCAGAGCTAGGGATTAGAATGTGAAGACAGTGGCTTTGTGTAATTTGTATTTAGTGGCTCAGAGATTCACCATATAGCCATCATGATTAATAACTATTGATTGAGCTATCCTCCTTGCCTTTCTCTTTTCAGCACACACACCCCTCCAAAAATCTGGTATAGTCCAGCTAGGTAAACATTGGTATACTAGCTAAGAATGGGAGTTGACAAGACTAAATTCCAAATATAGGTATCAGTCCAATAAAGGGATGAAGTTAAGTCTGTTCCAGGTTGTAAAACAGACTCATGTTCATGGTGACCATAAGAGTGAGGTAAATTTGGACAGACTTTCAAGACTGAGGTCAGCACTTTGAGGTGGGCCAGCTGAAGATGCTGACATAGCCAGGATTCCAGGAATACTCTTTATTGTAGTAAGGTAGAATAACAGAATCTTGAAAGCTGGTTCAAGTTTCTCTGTCCCATCTTATGCTAAACAAAATCAAAGCAGGGTTATTCTGAGTTTCTTTCTCACACATTCCTCTATTCCAGGATCATGTAATCTTTTCAGCAAGTCCCCATTCCCCCATCTTTAATGGCTGATTCCTTCCTTCCTTATTCTCTGGGTTAGAGCTACATTCCTTCACAACTACTCAGCATGTAGCACTGTTGTTTTTAGACTGCAGCTCTGAACTTATTGTCACAAACAAGCATGGCTTCAGTTCTTCTGCTCCTGATTATACCTGTCCCATGGGTTTTGTGGGCTTCATGTACCCCTGTTCTGTTTTCTAGCACCATCTCAGAAGCAGGATGGTGTCTTTCAAAATTGCTTTGATCTTTGTGTCCTTTTCCTCATCTTCTCAGTTGCTGTAATCTCAATCATCTAAAGCAGGGTTCCTTGCTGGCTAGGGAATTCTGGGAGTTGAAGTCCACCCATCTTAAAGTTGCCAAGGTTGAGGAACCCTGATCTAAAGGCATCACTAGATTGGCAAAATTTTATTTAAGCCACCTAGGACAGTGCATTTGCATGTCTTGGGGATTCTGTAAGTTAATCATGTGTGTCCCTTAAATGTATTTGGAAATCAGATTTTGAGAAAAACAGTGGAGAGCTTTATTTTCCTAAAATATCTTACTTTGCTCACCCCAGAAATAAAAAAATTACATATGTTTAAAAACTTCTCTTAAAGGTACTGTTGTCCACAAAACCGTGGTTTCAGCCCAGTCCTTTGACCCAATGAAAGACTGGACTCGAGAAACTCATTTATTCATT